TAAATGGATACACATATTTGGTTAACCACAAAACAACCACAACCCAATCTGAGATACATGTAAATGTCACTAAAGGATGATGTGAAGAGCTCACACATTAACATGTGTTCCTCATAAATTAATCTGATTACCTCACTGTAAGATAAGACAAATATTCAAACATTTTCCACCCGAAATAAAATAACGAGCTTTAAAAAAAAATGCTCGTCCCCGTCTGACTGTACCACAGAGTCTGATGTTTTCTCCGTTGAGCGCGCCGCGCGTTTCCACAGTCATCCGCATGAACGAGCCTGCATCCATCGCTGGTGATACTCGCCCCTCTCCTCTCTCCTGCTTGTGCCAAAACAAAAAGAAGGACATCAACGCACGGGGACAAGGTAAATACCAACCTTCGTTATTTACTGGATAACACGTGTGTGCATGTAGGAACTGTGCATGTCTTTTAAAATGGTGGTATTCCTCCTGGCTACAGCTCAACAGCGCACAGGCTCATTTATGAGGATGCAGTCAGATGAACATCACACATTTGTATTGTCCGTGCATCCATAAAAACCTGAGATTTAAAACATATCAAACCTGCAAATATGAATATATCTCAGTTACCTGCTAGACCTCAACAAGAGGTCTACTGGCCTGTAACCACTGGAAGATATATCACCCTGTGCCTTTAATTCATAATCAACCATCTATGATGTGATTTCATGTGAACTGGATGAAGGCTGGTTGCTCTGCTGAGCATGTTCTCTTGTTTATAAACTGACCTACTTACATAGATCAGGGATATTTACATAGAAACCTCATGAAGACCATAATGATCCATATAATAACACTGAACACTGTGAGGACTTCTCACATTTATTGAGGTGCAGTAATCTGGGTTCCTCTGTGCGGTTGAGGACATATTATGTTACACAGAGGGTTATATTCTAACATTTGAGACATAATTGATCAGTGAATAGAAAGAATTTGGAATCAGCTGTTAAGTAAAAGCTTCATGGATAAAGATAAATGCATAATCTTTTAAATTTCCCTCTGTAAAGGTGCAAAATCACCACCACAGTTAGGTTTAAAATGTGCTTCTCTGTCCTCCTTTCACTGCACAGATGTCAGGAATGAACCAGCTGGTTGCTACATTCTGGACATTTCTACTGCTCGCTGCGTTCCTTTGTGAGCCCACTCTGTCCAAGGGCGGTCGTGGAGGGTCCCGGGGCTCCTCCCGGGGCTCCTCCCGAGGCTCCCCGTCCCGCAGCTCCACAGCAGGAGGTTACCGGGCAGGAGGCGCCTATGGTGGGACCCGCTCTCGCTTCAGGGTGGGGGGGCGAAGCTCTCCGGTGAAGGTGGCAAGTGCGGCAGCAGCAGGGGCTGCCGTGGCATTGACTGCGGACAAATGGTACGCCTCTGCCTTCCGCCGCAGCAACACCGACAGCTCAGATGATGACCTGGATTACTTCAACAGGACCAATTACTTTTATGCACAAATGTCCAGCTCTACTCAAAATGGATCTTCACTCTCTCAGCTGGTTTCTATCATTATAGCAACGTTTTCCCCCAAATATGGGCTGTTACTGGACAGTATACTGTAGATGTTCAGGTGATCTTTTAAAGATAACTTCCCGATTCAGTTTAGGACTAAGCCTCTGTTCTGGATCTGACTATAATGTGCAGGACTGACTGGAACCTGCACTGGGAAGACCAGTGAGAGTCACAACCCAGTGGTGAAAGGACACCATGATCCCAAAAGAAACAAAACCCATCATTGTACTGTATGTTTTGACACATATGATCCTCTATATCAATGGACAAATGTATATAACCAACACAGAATTATTCATTGTGACATTTCACCAGTCAAACAGTGCACCTTTGTCAAAAAAAAAATGTCTGTGAGACGAGGGCCAAACTTAAAAATAATTATATTTCAATCCTGATCCCTGGACTGAATTAAAGAAAAGTTTTTCAGTAATATCACTAGACTACTGGTCACCAGTTTTAACTCTACTGCCAAATGTATCTGAAATAAATCTTTATTTTCTTAAACTAAATAGAAAATAGCAAAGTGAGTGACTACGATCGCTGCTTTTTCACCAGTATTTAAACTGGACCCTTTGTTTTTAGAATGGAAAATAAGTATATTTCCAAACTTGTGAATTCACCGGCAACATTTTATTTTACTGCATCACTTCTGCAAAATCTCTCTTGTCCAAATGATTTACAGTGGCAGACACTAAAGTGGCTGTAAAGACGATTCTCCACAATAATATAGAGTACTGTATACAGGGAAAGCTAAAGAGCATTTAGCCTCAATCACCTGAAATCAATGTGTGATTCACACCCTTTTGTACTGTAATTCTGAAATCATTCCTCTAACCTGTGTGTGATCCAATTCATGCTCGCAGCAACACTTGAGAACAAACTGCTGCTCTCACTGTTACGTCTCTGGACGATTTTCAGAGCCTGTCCATCATCCAAGAAGAACTTTTTACCTGCAGTACAAACTCAGGAGCAACAGACTGTTCCGTATCTATAAGTGCACTATATTATATGCTACTACACTTAGGTACATCGTAAAAATGAATTTGTTATCAATGTCTTTATGCTAATAAATATCCAGTTTATACCATGTCAGATTTCTGCCTCGTGTTCTAAAAGCAAAGCTTAAAAAAGAAAATAATTTTACCTGAATCAAGTTAAATTCTTTTTTGTACAAAGGACACAGTGGGTGATTTTTTTGCATCATCGATGAACAAAACCGAAATTATCATGTCCTCAAACTGTCAAAGACATGAGGACAGAGAGGGACTATATTTTCTCGATGACACCTTTGTGGTTAAATATGAATCCTTTCGAGTTGAAGACAAAATCCTGCAACAGTCTCTGGTCGTCTCGATTTAAACGGCTCAGGTCAGTCCAGCATCACTTGTCCCAGCTGACCTTTCCTGAAAGCTCGGATGAAATCGTAAGCTGCTGCTGTGTAGTTCGGGATGGTGACTGTGATGTTGCCTGTGGAAAATGAAGAAGAAACATTTTAAAGACATTGATATGGAGCTGGTTATATCGTGCATCAAACTGAAGGGAAAATGCATATATTTCTATAAACATCAAACAGTGGCAGGTATATAAAACGGGTTTTCAAGTTGTTTGCCATCTTTACAGACCTATATTTGGTCCTTTGTAAAAGTCAGTCTGATTAAATATGTAAATATACTGTAATGCATACGTGGTAAAAGTAGCATAAAGAGTGGAAACGGAGAAAAAGAGCAAGCCAGATCTCTCAGACATGAAATACCAAGCCTGAACAGGTGATGGCAGTGATATTCACAATTGCACTGAGAGAAAGCAGTGACCAACTCTGTAAGCAGCAGGAGAATCTGTAGGATTAGTATTTTCTTACCAACTCCAGTAATGGCTTTGACCCGTTGTGTTTTTCTGAGTTTCACAGCGATGCGTTTGAGAACATGCTGGATGTCATCACTGGGCTCTTGGAGGTCGTATTTTTCCACATAACTGCACATGAACACACACACACACGTACAGGAAACAATGAAGTTTAAGTTAACACACTGATCACCTGAAACATCAGCAGGTCACGATTTAGAGAGAACATTCACACCTGAACTTCTCCTGCCTGTTCAGAGAGTAGAGTAAGTAGTCAGCAATCACATCTTCACCAACTAAATGGTCCAGTATAGTTCCTGGAGAAGGAAAGAAAAAAACATTAAAACACATATTCCACTGAACACAAAGTTTCCACAAGCTGTTTCTTGAATCTCACCACATAAAGCCAGCTTCATGCCCGTTTCAACGCTCTCAATCTTAGGAGGCAGGACTCCTGGTGTGTCCAACAGGTACATTATGGGTCGCTCACACACCTGAGGACAAAGGTTGAAACAAATACTTTACAGATGCAAAATAAAATGGAGCCATGAACCCAAAACCCACAAACATGGCTTCTACACTCACCTGAATTTTAGTCAGAACTGCTTTAGTTATACCAGGCTCTCCACCCACTCGAGATGCACGACCTGGAATTGGTGAATAATTAAAATATTGATAAGTATGATACTAAATCAATGGCCAACACCTCTTAACTATTTTATAATGCAAACCTTTTTTCAGGTTGGTTCTCCTTAATGAGTTAATAAGAGATGACTTCCCCACATTGGGAACTCCAATCACCATCAGGCAGTAATTTGTGTTCTGAAAGTTTTCATGCCAAAAGTGAAAAGTTAGATGATAGACAATTTATTGAGATTTACCCTCTGTTCACTTCAACATTTGAATACTGAGAAATATATAATAAATACAAATTTGGAAATAAATGTTTCTGTGTTGATTCAGCTCCACTGAGGAAAAAGATAAGAAGGCTTGGTAATTTTACAGATGTGTCATATATCTCATGCATCTTATTGCAGATACATTGGTAATGTTGTACATGTTGCAGAATAAGAAACAAGAAATTATGTTGAAGGTAGTTTTGAAACAGTTTGTGACTGTGTAACTGTCAACTGGCCTTTAGACCATTTTATGTCAAAAGTTGAAATGAACTAAAACCTATGATTAAATAGGCTGGAGGAATCATACCTCATCTCTGTTAAAACGTGGAGCCATCCCGACAATTTCCAGCACCATCGGCAGCAACTACAGAGAGAAGAAGGGGGAAAAAACAGGAATAACACATTTATGCTCAAAATGTAATTAACTGAAGACAAACTTCTGCAAATGTTTGGTCGATGATGACCTCGACCTTTTTGATGTTGTCATCTCTCTGCTTCAAACAGTCTGTGAACAGAACGTTCTGCACCCCATCCTTTTCTAGCTTCTTCAGGATCCTCTGCAGAGTAATTGACAGATGTTGTTTTGGGTTGAATTTTAACATTGACGGTATTACAATCAAAATAGCAGCAAGGCCTTTTACCTGCTTGTTGGACAGATCTGTTAGGTCCATCTTGTTGAGAATTAGCACATGTGGCTTAATGTCAAGAGTCTCCTGAAAGACAGGGTTTCTTCCAGAGAATGGGATGTGCTTGATGTTAAAGAGAAAGGTTTGGATTTGACCTCTGCAGTAAACAGCAGCAAGGTCTTATAAGCAAAGTGAAGAAAACATCACTAGAAT